TTTTGAATCCGCATAAACTGATAGAATTTGACGAATTCAATTTGTGATGACACAAAACATAGGAAGATATTTTGCAGACCAAATATATTATTATTAAGTGCATATTTAATACTACGAGTATAATAGATGGTTTACCTCTGTAATTATATAATACGATGTAAGAGATATGTTTCATCTAAAATAATATAATTTGGAACTTTAAATTATTCTACAAAAACTCGATCCCTTCATAAAAAAAATTAGTTTATTCTGAATATATTTTAATTATTTATTATATAGCGAGAGCAATTTAAAAGGGTTGTTAATCTTTTGTTACCGAGAACATTTTAAATCAATCTAATAATAAATTAACGCCTTGTAAAAAATTAATCCCACCAAGAATCGGTTATAATATAAAGAAGTAGAAGTAGATAGTGAAGACACTTGCAAGATTCTAAATCGAAATAAATGAATAAAGCCGTATCATCATCATCATCATCAGCCCTTTTACGTCCCCACTGCAGGGGCTCAGGCCTTCCTTATGGATGGTTAAGGAGGATGGGCTATGACCCTCCACGCTGGCCCAATGCGGATTGGAGGGTAGTAACGATTGCAAATGCAGCCGGGACCAACGGCTAAACGTGCCTTCCGAAGCACGGAGTAGCTCGAGATAATAATTTTTTGGTCACCCATCCCGTGACCGACCCTTGCGAAAGTTGCTTAACGAGTACGATCACGGGCCGCGGCGCTAATCCATTACGCCACCGAGCTAATAAAGCCGTATGAATGTTTTATATAGCTGTGCGAGGTTATAGCTAAATAATACAATAAATTCTGATTATGAAAGTTAACATTAACGGGGAGAAAACATAAATAAAAAATCTCCTGACATACTGACAGCCACACAATGCACAGACTAAACTATTGGTCGTAGATACTTGAAAATAGGAGGGTACATTCCTCTTATTACGTAGAGGTGTATCTACTAAGAAGGGACTTTTGAAAATACCAAACCAAAGGGAGTTAAAAAAGGTAAAAACGTTTGTGTGATACTTCTTTGTTTTCCGACCTATGTATATTGATGAAAATTGGTATTTGAGTAGTTTAGGAAGATAACCACATATGTAAAACAGTATGTCAGGACATCTTTTATACATATGTTACAGCTAAAGGTGGGTGTGAACATAAACTTAAGATTAGCCGGCTAAACTAAGGTTTATCTTCGAGGAGGTGTCAAATAATAAGGAACCAGTTGTTCGTTACAGATACTTCTGTAGGTGTTTAAATTTACAAAATAAAACTTCTTAAGTGTTAATTACTTAAAACAATCTCTAGTCACAATTATTTACATTATTACTAATTCTAGTCTACTTCTGGTATCTTTATTGTTACTGTGTATCACCTATATGACATTCTGGAAACTTTGCAGCGGAATTTTGTTTCATTTTAATGGATTGGTACTCTAAATTTAATTTCGCTTCTGAACGATTATGTTCAATATCTGCTTCTTTTCAACAAAGAGGGCTTGTCTCTCCACCGCCCCCTCAAGCCCTCCGCCGGTCCGCGTCTATCGAATACATTTTTAGCCGTTTGGTTTCAGTTAATGTGCACATTTAACGGCTAGAAACGGTATATCACGACGCAAACTAATATGATATCAAACTGTAGCTGCTTTTCGAAGACAAATCTAAGTTTAGCCGGTTAATCTGAAGTTTATGTTCACACCCACCTTTAGTCGTAACACATATACACATATATCTAGATGGCGTTAAGTATATTCTACATCGCACTGTTTTAGTCAAGGTTGAGTTTTAAAATAAAATATAGTAAGAAAAACTTTAAGCTTTGCTATACTAGATGGCGTTATCGTTTTGTTTAAAGAATTTTGGGTAGATTTCAGTTTTCTATTGAGTTTTGTATAAACTTTAGATTTGTGTTTTTCTTTCCATACGTATTTCAAATTGGATTAACAGCTTTAAAGATTTTCAATAATAAAGTACTGAAATATATTGGACATTAATCGGTAAATTACATGTGAAGTTGTTGTTGCTGTACCATAAATGCAAATGCAATGTGGGGACGTGTGAATTAGACCAACGTTGCGTTTTGACTGGCTTTATTGAACTAAACATATTATTTATAATGGAGTGGAGATGTACACACTACACCACCCCCGTTAAAAAGGAATAAGAATACTGTAACGGTGTGCCGTATCACCGTTTATTTCGTCCTAGGTTTCCGCATGCAAACTTTTTGTCTTTGATCTTCAACATAATTTCTTTTTATTATTCACCTTTCGTAATTTGAAATTTTGACTGATCCAATACTCTCTTTATGAAAGTCAGTTCGTAAAAAATCATCTGGTGTGAACATGACAATGTAATCAAATAAATTTGAATATAAAAAATGTAATAATCATTAAATTATTATATTTTAAATAAGAAAATTTTTCTATTTAACAATTGTCATAAAATTTTTAGGTAATCATACGAACTGTTTTATATTTATTTTTTGTTTGTTACAGATTTTCTTTACCCTTTTCTTTATTATCGTATAATAAAATCAAATTCTCAAGCTTAGTCAGCCTTTCGTTCATTCGCCCAAGCATCGAACCCGTCACAATACTTCTAAAATATTTTTTTACAGATTAAAACCATAATAATACATTTTTTTTTGTTTTGAAGGATTAAGATGATAAACAATCGGTTTCTGTTCATTGTTCTAATGATACAAGGAAACTTTAAATAAGTAGCACATTTTAGACAAAATTTATACAAGTTTATCAGACGTATGTAAATAAATATCATGTAATATATCAATTTATTTAATTTGATAATATAGTTTTTTATTTCATAATTAAATGTCAAAGAATAAAAAAATCACAAAACGCATTTATTATTCTTAGAATAATAATAACAAAATTTATGGGTTAGGTATATATATAGTTTCACGATTATAATATCTATGCTAAGCTGTAATAAGCGAATCTGAAAAGCACAAAGAGTACCTTAATATAAATAACAAATACGTTTGAGTACATAAAGACTTACTTCATTTTAGAAATTATTATTTTATGCTAATATTTTAAAAAAGTTGTCAAAATTATAAGGAACCATCTAGATTGTATTTTATATACAGACATATAAATTTGATATCATAATTTTCTTCTACATTTTAAAATAATGTTGCAGTAGTATGATATCTTTTATAACAAACAAACAATTCATATAATCATTTAAAATTTTATAATACATAAAAAAACAATAATTTTTTGCTTTTACATTGTATACAATAATAGCAGTTTCCTTTCTTATAAAGTGTTTACAAAAATATTTAAAATATCTATATCTTTGTTTAGCTACCCAATTCTATTCAATCATTTCATATGGTCAAGTCAAAATAATTTTCTGTTGCATTTATCTTTAAATGAACATTCGTTTAGTATTAAATATCTTTAATTGTTATCATGACGTTATCTTTCATCTCAAAATATTCTAGTACCTATATCAAAATGTATGCTCAAATTTTTAAAACTACGCAACGGATTTTGAAGCGCTTTTTTTTCATAAATAGAGTAATTCAAAAGGAAGGTTTTTATGTATAATACAAGACCGCGCGGGCGAAGCACGAATGGTTCGAAGTGATAAATATTTTTTATCGCTGTGTAAATTAAAATTTTCCATACAGTATAATGTACTTGATTGTTGAAAAATAGTGTTTAAAGCGGTTAATACGCATACATATACATGTATACGCAGTATATATGATATCAGTATTTATAGAAAGCGGTTAGGTATTGTAATTAATGTAAAGTTATCATCGATAAATGTAATAACCAAATGATAATTATTTTTCTCACCAAACTTTACTATAAGAGGCATTGAGTATCATTATCATTTACCAAAATTTTATTGTGTTATGATATTCATACTATACCCGGTAAAAATTAATATAAATTAATATTCAAGAAATACTATAAAAGGAGTGAATTTTTTATGTCTCGACGAGTTTTATGCGTTTTTTTCATTGGCCATGGAACAAAATCAGAAGATGTTCGAAAATTCTTAGAAGAACACCACAATTTACCGTCTGCAAAAAGTCAAGTTGTTGTGAGGATTATTCAGAAAGCGTATCTATCAGCTCTCAATGATCGTTGGAATAAATCTAACGGAACTAAAGAACGTTTCCTTAATAAAAATACATTATGGTTAGATGCTAAATTTAAAGTACAATTTTATGAAGTACCTATGGACGTTACGTCTACAATATCTGGAGAACGTAGATTTCCACCAGTCTTATGAAGACTTATCAGAAAAATAAAATTAAAATATAGAGTTGACTATGAGCACAATGCATATAATCTACGGATTGAGATTTGAAAGAGAACTTGAGGAAGTTTCCATTGTTGTTATGATGAGGAATTATGAAAAAAATGTAAAAGAAATCATAAAGGAAAAATGGTTTCATGAAACACACAGTGTAAATAATTTACTGCAGATGAAACTTTAGGCCTTTTTTTGATATAGATCTTTTTAAATTTGAATACACATTTCTTCGACCGTGGTTTATTACGAAAAACTATGATATTATACCATCATATAATATATTGCAAAACGCAAAAAAATGTGTTATTCTATTTCCAGTATTGAAATATGTAATACTGGTGCTGAAGTAAAGCTACAAGATTTGCTGTATCACACTAGTGCTCGTATTTTAAAAATTGAAAATGTTTTTAAATGTTCTGGGAGAAACCTGAAATTGTTTACTAAATAGGGATGTGATGGTTCATCAGGACAAAAGGATGATATTCCTTTTGTCAGATTTTAGCCGATGAAAGTGGCTTAGTTGAGATGCAAACTTATTTATAGCATCTATGGTACCCATAAAGGTGACTGATGTCCCAACAGGAAAGGTCATTTGGCAATATCCCACTTGCTCTTCTACCCGATATTGTCGACCATTTCTGATGGAATTCTGATTGCAAAAGAAACACCAGAGAAGACCTGTTCGGTAACTGATATTCGGGGTCAAATTAATAATTTGGACATCCAAGATTAATAAGGAAGGCCAGGTAATAGAAATAAGCCACGATATATTTCTAAGAAATGATATATGGAAAAGTTACACAAGTGCTAACTGACACAAGTTCTGGAGTTGTGTGTTCAGAACGTGTGAAATGAACCAAGGGAAATGAATAATTTGGAGAAGATACAATCAAAACCAGGAAATATAAATATTTACGAGTACGGTTTGTTTACTTTACACGCATGGATTTGTTGAATGGAGTAATTTTCTAATAATCTTTCTTTCCAAAAATGGGCGACGAACAATCCGGAGGACAAAAGTAAAAAGGATAAGAAAAAACTTGTACAAAGTCTATTTTGAAACTGAATGGGACTGCATATAGATAAACCCCGAAAAGGAAGCGGAAACAGCAATGATGGTAATAGAGTTCGACGTTTTTTTAAGAAATATCATTGCTCTTCAGAAATCAAAGGTGTTGATGAAGATCTTATTAAAAGATTCTACGCAATTCTTCAGACTTTTTACACGCATTATTGCTATGTATATGGTATTATTGTACATAAAATATCTTCTGAACATAAAGTATTAATACATGGGGAAAGTATATTTAGGTACTTTGCTGTTCTGCCTATTGACAATTTATCTGAAGGGGCACAAGAATCTCGTAACAAAGATTATAAATACATGAGATTGCATCACTCCAGAAAATGTTCTAGAAGTGCAACCATTGAAGACATTTTTCATGGTCTTCTATTTACATCAGATCCGTATATATCGAGTATCAGATAACCATTATTCACTAATTTAAAGAAACTGTTAGAGGATGCCAAAACTTGTTAGTTATTTAATTAATTAATTAGCAATATTCTTACAAAAATTTCCTTTCTTAGGTTTAACTAGATGTTTGACATTTATCGTTATTTACACTCAATACTTTTTAAAGTATAATGAATATGATAACTAATTAACAAAAATAATAATTAAAAACGAATTATTTATTAAGTAATTATGTCGAGAATTATACATCCTTTAACAGAATAATAATAATAAAACATATGAAATAGTATTATGATGTAAAACTGAATAAGTAACAAATTAAGAAAATTACTTTTTATTTTTATATTCAAATAAGAATTTTAATTTTCTTAATTTAATAATTTAATTTAACTTTATTAGGTACATTAGAGAGACAATGTGCCAAATTTCAATTCTTTACTTGAATAAAAAACAAAGATACAGATCGATGAGGCGATATGCACGGTTTTGGCCCATAATGCGTTTTGGTCTCCTTTATTTTATTTAATTACCAAATTAAATATAAGCCATTATTAATCAACACTATGTTATGATAAGTATTCATATATTAGATTTTTATGTTTCCATAAAAAAATACTTTTCTTCTAATTCTTTGATACCACACAATACTCCTACAAATACTACAATTTATTACTTATTTCATCATCTATCTTTATTTATCATTAATTAAATCATACTTACTCCATACTCTTGCTCGTATTCTTAATTTCATATTATATCAATACACTTATTGCATTACTCATTCATTACATACGTACCCTACGCACAAAAAAATTTTTTTTTGCAAAAAGTGCATTTTATTCATGTTATGTCCGTGACTATATAATTAATAAAACACGCGTCTTTACTCTCGAACATATATTTAGCGACAAAGAAACAAGGTAGACAAAAGGAGCAACGTTTATGCCTGAAAAATAGTTCTACCTACTTATAAAATTGCTAATGATAAGTACCCGCTGATACTTATCTATTATACATCACACCTCCCAACTTAATCAATAACAATAGCTTATGTATATACACATATTGACATCAGTTATCTATGCCGTAACGCAGTACGGCCTTACGTTCTCGTTTGGGGCGATTCGCGGGTATACACGGTGAGTCGGGTACATTTGATTCACCTGGGGTAGTATTTGGTGAACGCTGTCGAGACACATACCGGTCTCCTGATGGAGTGTTACTTGCCTCCACGTCTATGCTCACCTCTGATCGCTCAACGCCCTCCTCACTCCCATTTTGACGTTCTATACTTTCATTTATTACATTAGGAGGACAAGGAACGTCGGACATTCTCGATCTACGCTTAATTTGGTCAATATGTCTATGTATCAGTCGTTCGCTACCGTTGTCTACTAAATAGCGGCGAGAGCCCTCGACGGCTACCACTGTGCCTTTCTGCCACTTGTCAGAACCAGTGAAAACTTTCGTCCAAACAGTTTCTCCGGGAGAGAACACGCGCGCCGCCCCCGCCCCTTCCGCGTACTGTTGCTGGTGAGCCTGCGCGCGCGCCACACTCTGCCCGCGTGCGTCCTCACTACGCAATAAATCGAGTCGCGAGCGCAGAGGCCGTCGCTGTAGCAACATAGCAGGCGTATCACCAGTACTGCTATGAATACTGTTCCTATAACTTAATAAAAACGTCTGTAAGGCGGCATCAACGTCTAATGATTCCCTAATGGCCTTTCTAATAGTACGCTTACAGAGTTTAACGGCGTTTTCTGCAGCACCATTCGATGAGGGATGATAAGCAGGTGAAAAAGATTGTCGAATGCCATTATTCCTCAAAAAGGATTGAAATTCGCAACTCGTGAACGGTGGCCCCTGATCTGACACAACTTCTGTTGGCAGCCCGAAACGCGCAAATGTAGTTCGCAGGGCCTTAATGACAGATAATGCATTCGTTCTAGACATTTCAAAAACTTCGATCCATTTTGAACTTGTATCGACCAGTATTAAGTAAGTTTTGCCATTTAATGGACCTAAAAAATCTATATGAATCCTACTCCACGGTTGAATGTAATACGGCCATGGTTGGGGCGGCGCTCGTGGCGGTGCCTGTGCCTCCGCTGCGCATGTTTCGCACTGCCTGCAGACAGTTTCTAAATCCGCATCTATATTGGGCCACCACACATAACTACGAGCCAAAGACTTTGTCTTTACAATACCCATATGGCTTATATGTAATTGTTTTAACACAGCTCCCCTTAAACTTTTAGGTATAACTAATCTATAACCCCACATAAGGCATCCTCGATCAATATACAACTCATTTCGCTTGTTATAATAATGTTTTATTCCTTCATCATCGCATTTATTTCCCCAGCCCGATTGAACGTACAACAAAACTCGACTCAGTTCGGAATCTCTAGAAGTGGCAGCCCTGACATTCTGGTTTGTTATTGGTAAAAATTGCTCGACAAAATTAATATAAGTTACATCTTCGGATACGCTATGGCTTTGACTACTTAAAGGTAACCGCGACAGTGCATCGGCACAATTTTTATTCGACGTGACGTATTCTATGTCATAACTATATCCCGATAATAGGATGGCCCACCTTTGTAATCGGGATGCCGCCATAACTGGTACGCCCACTTTGCTCCCAAATATATATGTCAAGGGTTTATGGTCGGTTCTAAGTGTAAATTTACGGCCATATAAATATTGGTGAAATTTCCTTATTCCATACACAATAGCCAAAGCCTCCCTATCTATCTGTGCATATGATCGTTCAGCGTCAGTAAGCGATCGTGAAGCGTATGCTATTGGTCGTTCTCCGTCCGGCGTTTGGTGTGAGATAACTGCCCCTACACCAACACTACTGGCATCCGCGGTCAAAATCAATGGCAGTTCCAATGAATAGTGAACCAACACTTCACTCGAACATAATCGCCGTTTAATTAAAGTGAACGCCGTTTCACACTCATTATTCCACACAAACTTGACATTCGTACGCAACAAATTGTACAAGGGTGCCATTATAGTACTTACATTTTTTATAAACTTTGAATAATACATTACCATACCTATAAAAGCGCGCAATTGCGTAACATTGATTGGGGCCGAGGTATTAGCAATAGCCCTAACTTTGTCCTCACAAGTCCTCACTCCATATTTATCAATTACATGACCTAAATATGTGATACTTTCCTCGAAAAATGAGCACTTTTCTCTTTTAACACGGAGACCGTGTGATTGTAATCTATCAAAGACTTTATGTAAATTGTTTATATGTTCCCGAGTTCCGGACCCTGAAATAATAATATCGTCCAAAAATACTCCTACGTAAGGAATATCTGCAAACATTTGTTCCAAATGTTTTTGAAAAATTCCAGGACTCGACGACAGACCGAAAACTAAACGATTATACATGAATAACCCCTTATGTGTATTTATTACAGTATATTTTTTTGATTCGTCTAATTCAAATTGAGCGTAAGCTTGAGACAAATCAATCTTACTAAATTTTTCGCCGCCGTGCAAACGTGCTAACAAATCTTCCACCTTAGGCAACGGGTAGCGATCGACTTCAATTACTTTATTTAATGTTAATTTGTAATCCGCACAAATCCTAATGTTACCGTCCTTCTTGACAACAGGCACGATGGGCGTGGCCCAGTCTGAGCGATTGACGGGAGTGAGAATGCCGTCGCGCACCATTTGCTCGAGTGCGCTCTCGACGCCCGCACGCAGCGCGTATGCTACGGGACGCGCACGCATAAATACGGGTCGAACCCCTTCGCGAACGTGTATGCTCACTTTACCGCCCGTAAATCGCCCCAATCCGTCCGCAAAGACTTTACAGTATCTGGAACTAAAATCATCTAAGTTAAAAGAATTACCAACAGTCGATACATTATTTATATTCTCAAATTTAGGCAGCTGTATTTTCAATTCTATTAACCACTGTCTACCTAGTAATGAGGTTTTAGCATCTTCTACCACATAAAGACTTAAATATTTATTGACACCATTGAAACTAACTAAGGGTTTTATAACTCCCACGGGTCGAATTAACTCCCCCGTGTAGTACCTCAATTTTAATTTAGATTCTTTAATATCTAAGTGTTTAAATAATTTATAATATAAATTCGTACTTATACAAGAAACTGCACTGCCAGTATCAATTTCCATATTAATATTTTTATTGTCTATAATAAGGGGTATAATTATCGGACTACACTGTGAAATGGATACTTGATTTACTGTTGTAATCATTACCTCATCGCTGTCTCCACTGTCTACGTCAACCTTCTGTGTCGGAATCGTCACATTGACATTATGATGATCTGTTAAATAAGGGCAGACTCGACGCAAGTGTCCTTGTTTATTGCACACTCTGCACACATAGCGTGAAAACTGACACCGAGATTCATCGTGGCTTTCACCACATGCGCGGCATTGTGTCCTGGTAAAAGCGAGGGTACCTCGCGCATGCCGCGCTGCCGCTTGCTGCCCGCGTCCCATATATCGCCCGCGCGGTGAAAATCGAGCCCTGCTGCTGCCACCGCCACTTCGCGCCGCTTTGCTCTCGCTACCACGCCATGTAGTTGCCACGGCCTGGCATGACACGACGTCGGCGCTCGATGTGGATGCTCGGCCCTCGACCGCCGCAGCATCCTTTTCTGCCGCTTCCATGTTAACTGCCAACGCGTACGCCTTCCCGAAATCTATCTTTCCTTCCGTAAACAGGCGCTGTCTTATCGTTTCGCTACTGATTCCACAGACTAGCTGATCACGTAAACTTTCTTCTAGCCAATTTCCGAATTCGCATGTCTTCGACATTTTTTTTAATACCGCCACATATTCTGATATAGTCTCATTACTATTCTGTTTCCGATGACGAAACTTGTACCTCTCTGATAAAATACTAGGTTTTGGTTGTAAATATTGTTGTAAAATATCCGTTAATTGTTTAAACGACTTGCTTGTTGGCTTCGCAGGGGTACACAAATTTACTAATAGCTCATAACACTCCGCTCCCATAACTGTGATAAGTGTAGGCACCTGTTTTGTCTCCGGTATTTCATTCACTACAAAATATTGTTCCAGACGTTCCACGTACATATTCCAATTGTCCGAACGTACATCGAATTCACATATTCGGCCTATCGACATTATTTTAATCCTCGTCGCCACTGTTATGTCCGTGACTATATAATTAATAAAACACGCGTCTTTACTCTCGAACATATATTTAGCGACAAAGAAACAAGGTAGACAAAAGGAGCAACGTTTATGCCTGAAAAATAGTTCTACCTACTTATAAAATTGCTAATGATAAGTACCCGCTGATACTTATCTATTATACATCACAATTCACTCTTTTGTTGCTCGGCACCGGCGTTCTTTCATTTTCATTTTATTTATTCATATTGGTACATACATATATTATTATTTATAGTCGACTTTACATATTGTATTATCCCTCTGTATCATAGTGTAGACTGTAGGCAACATACCGTTCTGTCCCCTGCCAAATCCATATGAATATTATTTTTACGTAGCGTATTCGCTGTAGATTGTGGTCAACAAACCAAAGTACCGAACTAGTTCCAAAAAAATCACTAGATGGCGATACCTGTCACAAATCGGAGTTTTTATTTCAACTGCAGGTGATTTGAACAAGTGCATGCGTGCTCTGATTATTAAAAATAATTAAAAATTGGTTTTTGAGTGTTCTTGGGTGTAATATTGGGAACATGGACAGGTAAGTGCACCAACTATTATATCCAAGTGTATGATTGACATAATTAACATTATTTGGTAATGTTTTTTTGAAGTTTATGTTTGTTGCTCGTAGGCTACATTGACCGAAAAGGGTAGTTATTCTGAATGTAATGCAAAGTGTTCATCAGGATTTTATAATGTTTCAGGAGGGCTCCCAAGCGGTCTCTCAATGATTTGGACATTACCATCGCACTAGAAAACGGTGCAGACAGTGAAGACGGTTTGGATTTTGATGATGACAGCCTCGCAGATCCTGATTTTATACCCGAATTGGAAACATTAGAGGATGAAACTGCGGAGTTAGATATCGAGGTGGATTCTATAATAGAAACTTTGGAGGAAAACGCGTCTACTAGCGCAGAAATCGCCCCATCATCCTACGTTAGTCTTTCTCAACCTTCTTCAGTAGCAGGCAACCAACAAAATGGTAAGCAATCGCAAGGTAAGAAAAATAAGCCCGCCAAGTTGAATCTACGCTGGAAGAAGAAAAATCTTCAGCTGAATGCTGAACAACTCAGGTTCAAGGGAAACATAACGTTGGGTCCTGATCTTCTAGAGCTTGATACTCCCATACAGTTCTTTTTTATTTATTTTCACAAGAACTCATCAAGTTAATTTCGGAGGAGACCAACCTTTACCAAGTGCAAAATGATCCCAGTAGCACTTTTCGTGTATCAGAAATGGATGTTAGACAATTCATCGGTGTGGTATACCTAATGTCTCTTGTACTGTTACCTCGACTTACTAATTATTGGAGTCCAGTACTTGGTACACCACTAATACAGGAAACTATGGCATTGAATAAATTTGAAAAAATACGTCAAATTTTACACATCAATGACAATACGAAAAATCTTCCCAGAGATAATCCTGAACATGATAGAATTTTCAAAATACGACGAATAGTGGACTCCCTGAATGCAGCCTACAGCAAAGTCCCTATGGAAGAGCACTTTTGTGTTGACGAGCAAATGTGCTCCACTAAAGCACGGAATACTCTAAAAAGATATAATCCCAATAAACCGCACAAATGGGGTTATAAAGTTTTTGTGCTGAGTGGCGTTTCAGGCTACGCATATATAACTGAAATTGAAACTGGTAAGGAAAATGTTGTCCTTGAAAATGAGCCAGATCTGGGTGCATCGTCTAACGTAGTCGTGAGACTAGCGCGCATGATTCTAAGGAACCAGAATTTCCGACTATATTTTGATAATTATTTCACCTCTGTTCTTTTAATGGAATATCTGGCTAAAGAAGGCATCCATACTCTTGGTACAGTGAGAAGGAACAGACTACCAGATTGTAAGTTACAATCAGAAAAGGACATTTTGAAAAAAGAGCGTGGTTACTCTGAAGAATACGTAGCCGATGTTAACGGGGTTGATGTGTCTACTGTTGCATGGAAGGACAATAAAATTGTTACCCTGGCTTCAACTTTTGCTGGACAAAAACCTGAAACTGATGTTCGAAGATGGGACAAAAAGAATTCAAAGTATGTCAACATAAAGCGACCCAATGTGGTTGAAGATTATAATCGCCATATGGGTGGTGTCGACCTTATTGACAGCATTATGGGCATTTACAAGATACGGCTGCGTAGCAAACGATGGCATCTGCGCCTGTTTTACCATTACTTAGATCTCACGATGGCTAATGCATGGCTTCTTTACAAAAGGGTGTATAAATACAAAAACCTACCAGTATCACGCCGTTTATCATCAGCAGATTTTCGTCTAGAGGTTGCAGTATCTCTTTGTAAAATGGGCACAAAATCTGGTTTGTCCAGTCGCCGTTCGGTGGAGAACGAGCTTCAAGCCAAAAAGCACAAAGGACCAACTCAACATGCACCTCCTATGGCAGTACGACAAGACCAGATTGGGCACTGGCCTTTATGGTCTGATAAAAAAATCAGATGCAAGTTTCCAAAATGTACTTACGGATTTACCCACAATACGTGTGACAAATGTGGGGTAGCATTGTGCTATACTAAAACCAAAAATTGTTTCAGAAACTTTCACCTTTCATAGAGCAATTATTTCTGAAACAGTTCAGAGTTGATTGTTACTTTTTTGGTCTATTATTTCAGTGTTGCCTCCAGGCAACACTCCCTTTTTTGTGAATTTCTACGAAAATAAATAAATATGTGAAAAATCCCGAAACACGTGTATTTTATTTTTTCGATAGTAAATCAAATACAAAAATTAAGAAAAATCTGTGTTCTTGAGTGACAGAGGGTTATAATAAATGGCAAAATCATGTCATTTGGGTTATGGCCACAGCCTAATAATTTTGGGGCTCATGGTTTAAGCCTCTTTTGGAGTCCAACTTATCTCACGGAGAAATCTCGTTTGCACCATATTAATTACTCGTTAAAAAAAGGAATTCTAAATAAAGCCATGATAAGAATAATATTTTATGTTTTGTTGCCAACATTGTTAATATACATACAATATTAAATAAAAACTTAGAATAGGTTTTTATGATAAAAAAATGACATGTAGGTAATTCGTGTTTTCTTGAATTAATAAATCGTAAAATTTTACGTCAATACGGAATTATGATTTTTCCTGCCAGTCCATTTATCCATTTGTCCCAATGACCGCAACTTCTCCCTGCTGCTCCTTATCCGACCCCTTCATATCCCGGCTCCCATTTTTCAATTCACCATATATTTTACTTTTCCCAAAATTTTACCTTCTTCGTGTGAACATATTTGACCAATTTTTCTTATTTGTTACAGCATTCGAATAATTTATATTTATTACAAATAAATTTATTTTAACTCGTGACCACGGCTGCTGTAACGTAGCCGAAACGTCGAGGTAAATTAATTGTTTTAAAAAATGCACGAACAAGACCCGATTGCATATAATTATAAAATTTATTTTAAATTATTAAGTATCCATTTTATATATATTTCATTTTTTGTTAATTTTTCTTGTACTTTTACATTTGCTTTTTATAATAACGCACGCGCGCACAATTTATATTTAAAAAAAAAAACAGCTAAGCTGCGCTGCCTACAGGAGTACGTGTGAATTAGACGAATGTTGAGTTTTGACTGAAATTATTAAACTAAACACTCAATTCATAATAGAGCTGATATGTACACACTACAGCTTATTGTTGTAGTGTTTTAGATGTTGAACATCAAATAATTTTATTACAATATCGCGAATATTTTGCTATCAATAGAATTAATAATTTGTTTTTCGTATCGTGATCCTTGACAGTTAACCAATTTCCTGGACTTTGTGCAGCCGCACTGCAGAAGGACGTTGTGATGGTAACTCAGCCGATCGACATTTAGCCGTGCAAATTAAAGGCCCTCTTCTATTGAGGCATCTGCCTAATTGGACGAATAATTTAACAAGTTGGCTAAGACATATTCATTGCCACAAAATCTCCAATATTGTTCTCAGTCTATTCATTTTTGGTAACTGTCTGGTAATTCATTATTATTGTTTTAATGTATTTAGAAATGCTACACAAAGTAAAAATATCACGTGGACGAAGTCGTGGATAAAAGCTAGTACAGGATAAATTTATAGTCGGTGCAGACAATGTCATATTGTATTCATTACATTGAATTATATGAAATGTCGATTGGGACGTGTGAGTCACGTACTCCCAGGTTCTGACGGAGTCTCACGCGTGGCTGAACTGATTACTGCGAATGGAACAATAGGAGGACATTCTCCAATATATGCTCTACTAGGTTGGAAATATACCTGTCTATCAATATACAATACCTAAACTATACTTTGTTTACTACTATTAAAATAAGGTAAAAATATTAATAAATATTGAATCATCAATATGTAATTTCAAATAATAAATTTCTTGTAAAACTTAAGAAAAAACAATAGTACACTACACAAATCTATAGTTTATAACAAAATGGGTTACCATTGTGTGTGCGCTGTAATCTTCTAAACTGCATAAGGGAATTTGATGTCACTTTCACCAATAAACAGAATGAATCAAACGGAAGGTTTTATACGAGTACATACTTTATATGGAGGTATAATACAGGACGAAACCGCTTTCTTTAAGGATTCGCGGAAAAACATAAAGTGTACCTTTTGTACTGTGAGAAGATCTAGATATTTTTTTAAAGATCTAGATATCATTTTTATTCTTTGAGTCAGTGTTCTTTTTTTTTATTTTTATTTTTTTACTTTTTTCTTTTTTTATGGAATAGGGGGCAGTCGTGCAGACGGATCACCTGATGGTGAGTGATTACCGCCGCCCATGGACACCTGCAACACCAGAGGAGCTACAAGCGCGCTGCCGGCCTTTGAGGGACGAATAAGCTCTATGCTTGAAAGTTTGAAGGTCGTATCGGTCCGGAAATACCGCTGGCGACAAACTGTTCCAGAGTTTGGCTGTGCGAGGCAGAAAACTTCTAGAAAAACGCACAGTCGAGGACTTCCAACCATCCAGATGATGGGCGTGGATTTCTT